AACTCGAGGCACGGCCTCGCTAACTACATGAGCACTCCAGTTCATCAGTAAAGTGTACCGCTGGAGCAATCATACTTCAGTAATCATACCCTATAAGAGGTTCGCGCAACACATATCCTCTGCGGTGCGTATGAAACTGTGACGACACAACTCCTTGTGCTCGCCTCAGGCTCGCGCCGACATACGTCGGGATCATATTGGGCTTTCAGGCTCTCTCCTGTTATGGCTCTTTCACTCTCCGTACCTGAACGGTACTCCTTACTTTCGTATGCTATTAGACCTCGCAATCAGCTTGTTACTACTTTGATGACGAAAATCGTCTTCGATTTAAGCTCAAGTTATGAATGCTATCTTGAATGTCCCATGGTTAACCCATTCCTCATTCCAGGAGTTCATAACCAACCACCTCGGTGGGCCACCGAGGAAGTTACTACTCGTGTGCTCGAAGACAGCTGAATTCGACGCAGACACTGGAAATATTCAAATACGCTGAATGCCGCCGATGTCTGAGAAGAGATAGTATGAACATAGACAGTGCCCGAGAGACGAAAACTCTTCATAGTATGAAGAGTTTTCGTATGAAGTTCATACTGGGCCGTTAATTATGATTTCCTTCTTGATGCTGCTTCTCTCACTGAACTTCCTCGGGATCAGAGCTTTGATGTAATAGCGACCCCTCAAGACGGGAGAAGTTATAATATGCGACTTTCGCATACCAATAGTTGATAATCGACTACGACTAACTCGTTGAAAGGAGTCTGATACTTGTCATTGGGACAGCTACTTCAACACGAAGGTGTCTCATACGTATCCTACTAGGATAATCCTAGTCACAGGAAAGCATTAGGACTTATCTGTTACCGCTGTCCTCACTTCCGATCACTCATTCTGGTGATGAGCACATTTTGGGAATTTATACGACCAGCATCCATCCGCAGAACTCCTACTTTCCCTCGCAACGTAGTCTCCGCCTGCAATGGAGAAATTGTTGGGATCAACAACGATGACTCTTCAACGAAGGATGAGTAGCTCACCTGTGACGATTCCATTCAGGAACGGCCATGACATCACAGGATTGCCCCCATTACAGTCAAATAACCTGCCACTGCCACTTCGAGGTGCAGCTTCCGAGTGAAAAGGAATGATGATTCGTGAAAACTTACAAGCATCCATGCCACAAGTTGCAGCAGGACAGCATCTCGCTATCAGAGAGCGATTGCTTCAACTTCCCGCCCGACTTGATACAGAGACGGGCTTTGAATGCTTCAACCGTTCCAAAGGCCCAACAGCTGCCACATGCCGACTGATCTCTGCACGGATAGAGCACTCTGGCCACCCCCCTCCCCCACCCCCACTCGGATTCAAATCAGCTACTTGACGCGGCCGGTGACGCTCGCACAATACTCTCATACAGGTTCGCCTTCATACGTGAATCGATGGTTTTAGAGAGCCAGAATGTTTCTTATTCCAATGATAAGAAGTCGCAGCAAATATACTGAATGTGATCACAGCCCAATAAAGGCGAATATCTTATCTTCGAGATCCCATCTCTCTAGTACTCGATACTGGACGCAGTTGTCAGCTCAACTATGGAGGAAGTCGTTCATAGTTTGTCATAATGGCAGAATTCACTCGGCCAAGGTCTCAGAGCGAGGAGATAGGACATGAAAAGATCGCCCGAGCAATGAAATCCGGATCAGAGGAAGGAATGGGTCAGACCGATGCACCATGGAGGTACGTTAACCTGATCTGTATACCTAAGATTCTCTGCTCT